AAAAAAAAAAAAATTTTTTTTAAAGAAACAGGTTAACAGGGAGTAGATTACTCTTAAAGAACCCTAGAGAACCAGGGTCCTGGAAACGCAGATGTGACAAAAGACAGAATGAAACAGCTGAAAATGGGAAGGCTAATGGAACTGCATATTTCCCATCAGGTCCTCCACTTTGCCACCCCTCTTTCAAATGGACTGTCCGTCAGGGAAGCATCTTTTTAATAGTCAGAAAATTAGAATTAAAAAAAAAAGTGTGCAGCCTGAGAGCAAAAACCTTACATATCATGTCTGACTCCCTCCCAAATCACCCCAAAACAGTTCCCCACTGAACAAACCTTGCCCTTGTACACAGAGCAGGATTGGCTTAGAGAAGATGGTTATGCAAATGCTGGTGCATTCATTTGCATTACCATTAAATAAGAATGGATGGCCAAGGGTGGCCGGATGTTTGAAGACATCCATAAAACCTGTACAGGAAAAGAGAAAGACCAAAATGAAGTAAACAGAAAAATAACCTCAAGGCAACAGATAATTCAGGACAGAAATGAGAGATCTTAAGCAAAGCCGAGCAGACCCTCTCAAATTTATATCTTTTAGAGACATTTGGAAAGATGTTGCTTTCACACTATAAGAATGGGATACTTTGAATTTTTTTTTTTCAACGTTTTTTTATTTATTTTTGGGACAGAGAGAGACAGAGCATGAATGGGGGAGGGGCAGAGAGAGAGGGAGACACAGAATCGGAAACAGGCTCCAGGCTCCGAGCCATCAGCCCAGAGCCCGACGCGGGGCTCGAACTCCCGGACAGCGAGATCGTGACCTGGCTGAAGTCGGACGCTTAACCGACTGCGCCACCCAGGCGCCCCAAGAATGGGATACTTTGAAAAAGGAGCAATTAAAGAACAAAGAAGGCTTCCCCAAAATAAAAAGATAATCTCCTAGAAATTAGAACCAGAAGACAGATTGAAATAGAGAAAAGATGAGAGATACAGAGGAACAATCTAGGACGTCTAACTTACTTTTAAGGGAAAGAGATGAAGAAAAGAAAATATTAAAAAAATACAGAATTTTCTTCTAAAACCAAAAAGGATATTTGAGTTGCCCAGAATAATAAATGTAAAAAAACACACAAACCCAAACACATCCTTGGAAAAAAATGAAAATATAGAGAATAAAGCACTTACAAGCTTCTAGAGAGAAGTCACCTTTGAAAGAACAAGAATCATCCGGTGACTCACACCGGATGATATGGGGGGGCAAATCTTGCCTTCTAAGGGAAGATGATTTTCAGTATAGAATTCTATACTCATCCAAATTATCGACTTAATATGCCATTTTCAGACATTCAAAAATTCAAAAAATTTCCCTTCCTAACCTAAAGGCAGACAGGAAAAGAGAAAGGCAATTAGAAACCCCAGGGGAAGGAGGAGAACACAAAAAGCTGAAGAACACAGAACATTCGTCATGATACATACTACTTAGCTTTGCAGAGAGTAATATATAATTATAATCATGTGAACACTGTTGATTGATTTTGAATTTAGAGTCACTATACAGGTGGTGGGAAGGTGTATGGGTACAGGACAGACCTTTTAACCTTGACAGTGTAAAAGTATAACTCATAGTTTGGGGGTGGGAGTAGGGAAGAGAGCTCAGGAAAGGGTGCAAATAGACTTATCTTAAAAAGTATGGACACAGGGGCGCCTGGGTGGCTCAGTCGGTTAAGCGTCCCGACTTCAGCCAGGTCACGATCTCGCGGTCCGTCAGTTCGAGCCCCGTGTCGGGCTCTGGGCTGATGGCTCAGAGCCTGGAGCCTGTTTCCGATTCTGTGTCTCCCTCTCTCTCCGCCCCTCCCCCGTTCATGCTCTGTCTCTCTCTGTCCCAAAAATAAATAAACGTTAAAAAAAAAATTTAAAAAAAAAAGTATGGACACAAAAGATCATCTTAATTGATGGAACTAAGAAATAGAGGTATAGTGTTTCAAGCTACAAAGGTAACCAGTAGAGAAATGCTGATATAACCATGTTGGCAAGAAAGAGAGATAGCCAGAACCGTACACGTGGGCTAAATTCTCATGTATTAAAGAAATCAATAATGTGTTCAAGGGATGAAATAAGAAATAGCAGATAAATATAAATATAGAAACTAAAAGATGCAAAAATGGAAAAATTAAATGGATTTAAAATGGTTTCCTCTGAAGAATAGCACAAAGAGAATAGTCAGGAAACTATTGCTTTTCATTACAGCAGTCTGTCGTCTTCCTTTTTAAGTACTTTAAAAAATGGAAACCGAGGAGCGCCTGGGTGGCTCAGTCAGTTAAGCGTCTGACTTCGGCTCGGGTCATGATCTCGCGGTTCGTGGGTTCGAGCCCCTCGTCGGGCTCTGTGCTGACAGGTCGGAGCCTGGAGCCCGCTTCAGATTCTGTGTCTCCCTCTCTCTCTCTGCCCCTCCCCCACTTGCACTCTGTCTCTCTCTCAAAAATAAACCTTAAAAATTAAAAAACCTAATAATAATAATTTTAAAAGGTGGAAACCGAAGGAAAGGAAGGGAGGAAGAGAAGAATGGAGGAGGAAAGAAATGTGGGGAGCCTGCGAGATCATAATGCAATCTGCTTGGAGGTGGACACAGACTTCTAAGACTTGGCACTTAATATCTTCTAACTCTAATTTAAGTGTGTGTGTGTGTGTGTGTGTGTGTGTGTGTGTGTGTGTGCGCGCGCGCGCGCTTAGTGTATAGTAAGGTTCTATTTTTATTTTAGTTTTTGGCTTTTATTTAAGAAAAATTTCAAACTTACAGAGAAGTCTCGAGAATAAAAGTAGTACATCGAGCCCTCGAGTATTCCACACCCAGATTCACCCAGGTCAACATTTCACTCTCTGTGCTTCATCATTTTCCCCTCACTGCCCCCTTGGGTTTTCTCAACCACTGGAGGGTTACATGCAGTAACCTTTAAATACTTTACCTTTACCCCTAAATACTTCAGTGTGTGTTTCATAAGAAGAGGTAGGAATATGCTCTTACATAACCACAGGAAATTTAACACTGATATCAAACTTTAATCTATCAGTAAGATTCAAGCTGCGAGTAATACTTTTCCTGACTTACAGCTACCTCCCTTCAAGATTCTGCTTGGCCCTGGGCCTTTTTCCTTTTCTCCCCCCAACTCCAGCCTTCTGCCATCACCTCATTCTCTCTCCTTGTTTTTGCTCTCTGCTTTGAAGTCTTTTCTTCTATAATTATTTGAATGATTCCTGGAGTTTACAATGCAGACATACACAGACACGCACACACACACGGAAGTAAAAGCTTTACCAAACCCTGTCTGGCGGGAGAAACCTTTTGTTCCTTTGCCTTTCCAAAAATCACCCGCACTATTGTTCGAGTCTTTGAGCCTCCTTTTGAAAACTGAATCGTATAGCTACGTTTCTGAGGGTTTAACAGCTTTTCTTTTTTCTTTTTTTTTTTTTCTTTCTCCACTCTGGTTTCTAGTTTGAAAAAGTACCAGAAGGTTTTATCCCTCCATCTACACCCAAGTTTGCATATGGAAAAGTTGCTCTGCAAAAGGTAAGAAAGAAAATAACAGAACTGTTGGGAGTGAGGGGGTGGAATTGAGCAGTTGTGAGTGAAAGTGTCACGCTGGGGAATTGGTTCTATCTTTCTGTGAATTGGTTTTCTTTGAGACTGATGGGGTAGGTGATGTTTCTGGGAAAATGGGGACGTGCATGTGTCACATTGACGGGGTGAGCACATAGGGCATGAGCCGGAGTGGGTGGACGTTTGTACGTCATTCAGGTCATTTTGGTTCAATTACCAGTCATCCAAAGCAGCTTCAGGACCTTTGTGGGAATAACATGCCACCTTGTTGTGCTTGGTGAGGTTCTTTTTCCATAATATACGTTTTTTTAGGGAGTTCTCCAAAGCCACAGGCATTGTCATAGATCTTTGCACATGTAGTGTGCTTCCCTCCATCTCAAAATCATGTACTGATTTTTGGGCTCTGGTTTATTTGGTAAATGGGACAGCAAGGGGGAAATGGCTAGAAATTAATCATAAAAAGGAGTTGAAGACATTTTATTCTAGGAAAGAGAAAAAGAAGGGAGATTTCATTTCATTGTCGGGAGTGACGTAAGCCAAAATCAATTTGTTTTGACCATCTGTGTCTTCAGGATTTCCCCTTTTATAATCCCTAACTCCTACATCTGTTAACTCACAAGAGAAAAAAAAAAAAAAACCACAAGCAGTTACACATTTCTTAAGAATCTTGACATTCTAATATAGTGTAAGTTTTTATCTTTAACCAAAATGCCAAACACGATTGTATAATTTTTCCGTTCGTGAAGCCCTTTGATACTATGATTGGTTGAGCTCCTGTGACATTTTCCACCTAGCGTCAGATACGTGCGTTACATTCTACAAAGAATGTGGTCTCTCTGCGTGATAGGAATCTTTCTTTAGTTTTGATCAGACTTGACTCACACTTGTAAACGGAGTATCTTCTATTTTTCTCCTTGCTGCTGGCTACTTGAGGAGGTTGATTTGTTTTGGAGCTGCGGGAAATGTATTTTTATGCAACAGAAAATAGGTACAAATATTTAATACAGCAACATTGCTTAAACAAAACAAAACAAAACTAGCATAGTACCAAAAATACATTCTATTTGCCATGAAGGAGAATTGTGTGAGTAGAAATAGCTTTTCCTTATGAACTAAATGTTTACAGTTTAAGACAGCAAATTAGCACGCAACTGAATTCAGTTGACGTGGGACATGGTTTATGGAATAAACCGTTTACCGTGAGTGGAATTTCTTTAGTTGTCCACATAGAAAAGCTTCCATGTGAGTAGCTGAACTGATGGAACTGTACTTAAGGTTTTGTTTTCCCTTATGTTACACATCAGCAAGGTATCCCTGCAAAAGTGTCCATAAAATTTCTAACCAGTGTCAGTCGCGGGAAGTCCTAGGTTCAGAGCCAAACCTAACTGCAGACCTTGGCTCTGCCGTTGCTCCTGTGAGGCTCTCTGAGAACCTGTTTCCTCATCCCTGACCTGGGGACAGTGATGGCTGCCCCACCCGGAGGTTGTGAGGATTCATTGGGGTGTGCATGCAAGGGGCGCTCACCTGGGCTTCGGCAGGCACTCAGCGATCGGTAGCTGCCATCATCCTGTTGCTACCTCGGAGTAAGCCTCCTGGGTTGTGAGAGTACACGATCGTCTGGACCCAATGTAGTAAGCATTTATTGAGTGTCTACTCTGTGCTGGGTATCGGGTGAGCACCGCACAGACTCTGCCCTTAAGGAGCTGACACAACGGCGAGGACAGCAAAGGTAAGCGGCCGGTACGTGATGCAGGCGTGGAAAATAGGCCACAGTCAAGTTCAGAGGAAGGTGCAGTCCTGGTTACTTCCCTCCGGGATGCTGGGGAAGGCTTTAGAGAGGAGGCAGCCTCTGAGCCTTGGTTTTCATTCATTTGAAGGGCCTTTTGTATAGAGGTTGTATTTGCGAATAGATGTGCTTGACACGCTTTACGACCACCGTGAGTTATTTTTCATCGAGAGTTAGGGGATGGATAGCGATGATTGAAGGCAACTGGGGGGTCAGCATTGAGCGGAATTTTAACAGTTTAGGTCTGTTTAGGGATTTGGTCCAATCCAGTAATGTCTTTGATAATTTGCAAATGGCATTAGCCTCCACTCTGATGACCAGGTGACAGTGAGTGAATGCTGGTCTTGTTTCTTTTCAGTTAAAGACGGTGGAGGACGCTCTGAACGTTCTGTGTCCTGCTGGGCCCATAAAAAGCCTTTATCCGTTGACGTTTATCCAGGTGAAACAGGTAGGCCTTCAGAGGTAATGCTTCACCCTTCTTCTACTGACAGAAAGGTACTTTCTGCACTGCCCTGCAGGGGCTAAAGTGGTAGGCAGATAAATCAGGTCCCGTGTAAATTCGCCACCGATTTCCAGGCTCTCTGTAGCTTTAAGTACCACACGGTGGGCTGGTCCTTCCTAGATTCCCCCCCACCCCTTTCTTCTCATGCCTTGAATAGGCATAGCTCAACCTGATTCAACATAACTCTGACTGTATTTCTGATCTACTTAGTCTTGATTACTAGAGGAAAACCACCATCTTAATGCGCAAAAAGACCACTTAATTATTTGTCCTTAGTTAGCTCAAAGGTGTAGGGACCGTGTTCTCAATAGGTTAGGTCCTTAGAGATTTTTCCTGCTTGTGAAGGGAGCAGAACACCTGTCAGTGCATGCATGCATGCCCGCGTGTATGTGGTTAACCCAGCCACCGCCTCGTATGAATTTTATTTATTATTTATTTATTTTAAGTGGGCTCCACGCCTGACATGGGGCTCGAACTCATGACCCTGAGACCAAGAGTTGCACACTTGGCCGACTGAGCCAGCCAGGTGCCTGCCCCTCATATTTATTTAAAAATTTTTTCCCAGCTTTTTATTTTGGAAATCTTCAAATCTAAAAATGTTGCAAGGAAAGTGTAATTTACACCCATGTAGCTTTCACCTGGATTCACTGAATGTTGACAGGTGGGTCTGTGTGTGTATACGCAGTCAACTGCCTTTTTTAACTGTTTGAGTTTGTGGTCAGTATCCTGACACGTCACCCGTAAATATTACAGCATATATCTTTTAAGAAAAAGGACATCTTCCTATATGAACACAATATGATGATCACACTTAAGAAATTTAACGTTGATATAATCTTATTTAATATGCACTCTATAGTCAAGTATCCAATAATGTCCTATATAGCTTAGCTTTTTTTTTTTTAATTTTTTTTTTCTTTTTTTTCAACGTTTTAATTTATTTTTGGGACGGAGAGAGACAGAGCATGAACGGGGGAGGGGCAGAGAGAGAGGGAGACACAGAATCGGAAGCAGGCTCCAGGCTCCGAGCCATCAGCCCAGAGCCCGACGCGGGGCTCGAACTCACGGACCGCGAGATCGTGACCTGGCTGAAGTCGGACGCTTAACCGACTGCACCACCCAGGCGCCCCAACTTTTTTTTTTAAATGTTTATTTATTTTTGAGGGAGAGGAGTGGGGGAGGGGCAGAGAGAGAGGGACACAGAGGATCAGAAGCAGGCTCCACGCTGACAGCAGCAAGCCCGATGCGGGATTTGAACTCACGAAGCACGAGGTCGTGCCCCGAGCCCGAGTCAGATGTGTAACCGACTGAGCCACCCAGCCACCCCTTAACTTTTTTTCAGTCCAGTTTCCGATCCACGATCACACGTCGCATTTAGCTCTGATGTCCCTTTTTTCTTCTTTCCGCTGTCACTATTCCCAAGTCGTGTTTTCCCCCTCTCTCTTTCTCGTGACGTGGACATTTCTGAGTTCGGGCCAGTTGTAGACTTCCCCTCACTGACTAGATTCAGTAGAACATTTTTGGCATGGACGTGACAAAGGGGCTGTGTCCTTCTCAGAGCGCCATGTCAAGATGTCCATGAGGTCACTTTGTCCCCTTGTTGTGACGTTAAGTTTGAACACCTAGTTAGGATCTCAGCCCCATTTTTTGAAATGGAAACTTACCTGGATCCCCCTGATGACTCTCTGTGGAGATCCCCTTCTGGAAGGTATCTGAACCATAAGGTAATAAGACAGTGGCGTATCTAATCTTAGTGTATTTTGCCTCTGGTTATTCTCTTTACACTTGTGATTTTGTTCTAACAACTCTGTTGGATCGATACAATGAGTAATTAAGCCCTCCTTTCATGAACACCGGATAGAATCCTTGCTCCCGTTCCAGCCAACACCTGCTGCGTCCGCGTCTTCCTCGAGAAGATACAACCCGCCTTTTTCACCGAGCAGGGGAGCGTCTCGGACAAGACACGGTCAGGTCACTAGAGCAGCTGGAAGCTGGGAAGTGAATTCCAGGTTGAAGCATAGACATCTGCACTCACTGTTCTTTGCCAGACCCTTCTGCTCTGTGATCTCTGGCCAAGGCAGTGCTCTAGGACTGGGGGCACTCCCTGGGCCCTGGCTGTTTCAGGTCTGGGGCCAGCCCACTGAGTGTTTATTTCCGGCGAAACCCTGGAGAGCGCAGGTGCAGGGAGTGGGACGCAGCCCTGTTCCTCTGTCCCCACCCCCACCCCCACCCCCATCCCGGCGGCCGCAGCCAGCTTTGCAGGGAGCACTATGACTTCTGCTCCCTCCTGGGAGCCCTTCCTCAGTGTTCCTCAGCCTGTGAGCTAGGACTTACCACTTCAGTTACTTTGAATAGAAAAAAACCAAACAAACAAGAAAAAGGTGGAGATTTGGGGTCTGGGAGGGAGCGCACCCTTGTGCATAAAGCCTTGGGTGGTGGCCCCAGTGATATTTCTTGAGTTCAGCCCTTTCCTGCAACACAAGAACATGAGTTAACGTGTTTACTTTTTCACCTCCTCTAAATCCCCTTCACATTTGCTGACATACACTCCCTTGCTTTCTGGGCTCTAGACGTGAGGAACTTTTTCTCCGTCCCACACTGGATGTCTGTGGGATCCCCCTGCGTGACAAGGTTTGGTTCCATTCACCCTGCCTAGCATCCAGAGCAGGAAGGTCACCAGCCGAGGCCAAGGGTGCTGTTTGTTGCTGTGGCTGATAGTCTGGGGCCTTCCTTTCGGACCAGGGGTACCAGCATCTCTGGCTTCTGACTTAGCAACCGGTTACACCCTCATCTCTCACTGTCTCTGTTCCCGCCACCCCCGTCCCTCCACTTTAAACAGTTTCTGATTGACTCTTGTTTTGTATGTTAGAGCACATTTAGCCCAAGAACCTGGAAAATGTTTCACCAACATTGTTGGCTTCGTTGTCTTTTTTTTTTTTTCAAGATTTTTTTTTTTAATGTTTATTTATTTTTGAGAGAAAGACAGCACAAACAGGGGAGGGGCAGAGAGAGGGGGAGACACAAAATCCAAAGCAGGCTCCAGGCTCCAAGTTGTCAGCACAGGAGCCCGATGCGGGGCCCGAACCCACAAACTGTGAGATCATGACCTGAGCAGAAGTCGGACACTTAACCAACTGAGCCACCCAGGCACCCCTAAGATTTTACTTCAAAATAATCTCTACACCCAATGTGGGGCTTGAACTCATGACCCGGAGATCAAGAGTCACATGCTCTACCGAGGGGCGCCTGGATAGCTCAGTCGGTTAAGTGTCCAACTTCTGCTCAGGTCATTATCTTGCGGTTCGTGGGTTCGAGCCCCGCGTCGGGCTCTGTGCTGACAGGTCGGAGCCTGGAGCCTGCTTCGGATTCTGTGTCTCTCTCTCTTTCTGTCCCTCTTGCACTCACACCCTGTCTCTCTCTCTTTCAAAAATAAACAAATATTAAAAACACTTTTTAAATCTTTAAAAAAAGTCACATGCTCTACCAATTGAGCCAGTCAGGCACCCTGTTTGCCTTTTTTTGCTGTGTTATCTTGTGTTTTTGAGGTAATGTAAATAACCTCCTGATATGTATGACAGGATCCCCCTGAGTGATTCTGGGCAAGTTTCCTTGTGTGGGAAAGGGATGTCTGATAAAATGCTCTTCTGGATTCCTTGCTGCTACTGCTACGAGAGTGTATGATCTAAAAATTTAAGCCAGTTCTTTCGGACTGAATTTTTGCTGGAGGCTAGAGAAACACTTTATTCCTTACAATTCTAGAAACAGGACTTTCACACAGATCGAGGTGGCCAGGCTATCTTTTTTGAAAGAGTGATGTGTTTTTCTTCCTTCTTTTTGTCACCAGTATTTTGGTTTCGTGCTATACCGAACAACGCTTCCTCAAGACTGCAGCAACCCCACACCCCTGTCATCACCCCTCAATGGAGTCCGTGACCGCGCCTATGTCGCCGTGGACGGGGTAAGAATTGTCTCTGAGCTGTGTGTGTCTGCCCCAACAGGGGGGTGTGTGGTCTGTGCTTGGAAATGGGGCATTCAAGGCCCTTGCGCACCTTTCTACACTCCGGCTCTGCCCCTCCTCTCGATGTCCCTTAGCTGTGGCCCTTGCTTGCTGATGTGGCCTCACCCATGGCTCCCTCTGCCTGCCCCTGGAAGGGTGTGCTCAAGCCAGCCCCCTTCGTGGAAACCTTCCTGGTCTCCCCAGCCCAGGCCGTCCTCTCTGACCAACCACAGGATGTCACCCATGTCTCCTTTGCTCCTGGAGGACAGGCCCCATTTTGAACACGCGGGAGCCGCGATTCGTTTAACTCTGTGCCTTCATCCTGCATGAGAAATTCTATGCAGAAGGATTGTTCATGGTAATCATAGCCACAATACACAAAGAACTTTGTTTCCCAGCGCAGGGAAGAAACATTAGAGGATTTCCATTCCTTCCACTGGAATAATCATGTGAAAAAGCACATGAAGAGATTTTTCTCACCGTGGAAATTTGTTCAGAAATTTTTAAATTGAAATGTTTCCATTCTGCTGTGATCAAAGGCTTTCATTTCAGCGGGAGCACGTTTCTAGGACACCATGTGTGTGTTGCCCGTGTATATACTGACAGCCGTTGTGTGTTGAATTCCAGGTTAGGGGTGGGTCGTCTTCGTGAATTCTAGTCAGTATAACTTCAGTTGTTTGTTCTCGTTCTATTATATAATTTTCGTGGTTAATGCATCCTATCAGGTATTTTGAGGTGAGACGACTCCACCTAACTCTCTGATTTTTATCTCATTTGTCTGATTTTTTTGTCTCATCTCTCCACGTTGTTTAGAAGCCACTTTTTATGACTGCCTTTTGTGCTGTGAGAACACGGAGGGGCTCCCGTAGTGGGAATCCCCCCCTGGAGCTGTCGGGTCCGTTCCCTTTCTATTAAAAGTAGACGTGCAGTAGGGACGCCCGGGTGGCTCGGTCGGTTGAGCATCCGACTTCGGCTCAGGTTGTGACCTCACAGTTTGTGGGTTCGAGCCCCGCCTCGGGCTCTGTGCTGACCGCATGCTCGGAGCCTGGAGTCTGCTTCGGATTCTGTGTCTCCTTCTCTCTCTGCCCCTCCCCCGCTCATGCTCTGTCTCACTCTGTTTCTCAAAAATAAATAAAGGTAATAAAAAAAAGTAAAAGAAGAAAGACATGCAGCAAACATCCCAGAGCAAAGGAAGCCAGCCTAGACCTTCCCTTGCTCTGAGCTGTGCCTGGTGGGTGGCCTGTTTTGGAAGCAGTGTTTGGAGGAACTTGGCCACCTGGCCGGTGGCTTGGGCAAAGGGGCCGGCAGAGCACTGTCTCCCGAGTCTGGTGACACCTCAAGGCAGGAAGATGAGTGTGATGGCTGAGCCAGCCGAGCTTGTTGCCCTTCTCACCTCAGTTAATTCCCACCGGACTCCGACCCCACAGGTGCCCCAGGGAGTCCTGGAGCGAAGTTACGTGATCACTCTGAACATAACAGGGCAAGCCGGAGCCACTCTGGACCTTCTGGTGGAGAACATGGGGCGTGTGAACTATGGCAGATACATCAATGATTTCAAGGTAGGACCAGCCTCGCTGTCGAGGTCGATAGGACTGTGTCTGTGCCGCCCGAGGAAGTCTTTGTAAAGCCATTTAAAAACTCTCGCACATACATTCTTCTCCTCCAGCCCTGTCATTTGAGCAGCTAAGATGATGATGGGGACAGAGAGAGACAGAGCATGAACAGGAGGGAGAGAGAGGGAGACACAGACGAATGTGTCAACAGCTCGGCTCCCAACACGTGCCCGAGTTCAGCGGCGGGCTTCGAACTCACGACCGTAGATCGGACCGGCTGAAGCTGACGCAACCGACTTCAGCCCACCCAGCGCTCGCGTTTTAAAACACACGCTTTGCCAAGTTTGGTGATTGAACCTGCCGTGATTTGTTTTGCAACTTCAAAGCTCGAGTATTTTGAGGACCTGCCCTCCTCTGCAGGATGAGAAAGTTGAGCTTTGCAAAGAGAACCCTTCCCTCGTGTTCGGGTTCGGTCATCCTGTAGAAAGAAGGAGGAAGCCTCTCCACCGAGCTTTTCCTTTGCTTAAAAAAAGCCCACCTAGGGGCGTGCTGGCGCGTCGGTTAAGCGTCCGACTTCAGCCAGGTCCGATCTCATGGTCCGTGAGTTCGAGCCCCGGCAATCAGGTCCGATGGCTCGGAGCCTGGAGCCCTTCCGTTCTGTGTCTCCTCCTCTCTGCCCCTCCCCCGTTCATGCTCTGTCTCTCTCTGTCCCAAAAATAAATAAACGTTGAAAAAAAAAAATTGGAAAAAAAAAAAAGCCCACCTAGCTCTCGAAAGGGGCTTCGTGGCCAACCAAGCCAGCTTAGCCTTTGGTCGGCCCCGTTTGCTGGGTGTGGACTGTCTGTGACGAAGCCTTGAGGCGTAGGAAGCCTTTTTCCTCAGTGCGTGGCCTCTCACCCCTGCTGGTTCCTCTGTGTCCGGGTGGCTAGCCCCGGCCCAAATGTTTTTCCTTGGAAAACATTTTCAGAGCATGATTCGGCAAACATTTGTTAGGCCCATGCTCTGCACGAGGCTCCGCGAGCTGCAAGGGATGTTGAGATACAGGCTTCCCCGCAGATAGTTCCTCATCTGCTAGAGGACAGCAGGCCCCCATGGAAAGATTTATGGCATCACTCGGCCTAGGCCAGAACAGGTGTGTGGGACTGTTTCCTGACCCCGTTGATGCGGCTCAGAGGCAGGGCAATTACACTCCTAGGGAATGACCGGGCAGGGGCCACCTTTGTCTCCAGTAGAGATGTCCCGGTTAAAGTCCTTGTGCTCAGGCTGTGGCTAGTGGCCTTCCTGCTTGGCTGTCACAGGCCACGTTGGCCCCTGCAGTGACAAGCATTCTTGTGTAGTCTCTGGCCATAGAGCCCAGCAAAGAGCCTGGCACATGGCTGCCTGGCCAATGTTTATTGGATTTACTAAGTGGGCAGTGGAGGCTGGGTATCGAGAGGTGGCCTGGGAGAAATTTGGGACCTGACTGGGAATGGAGAGAAGTTCGCCACATAAAAGGCAGGGAAGAGGAAGCTAGGCAAGCCGTGAGCATAGGCCTCGATGGGGCCAGGGACGCCCCAGCCCGCTAACCCGCTAGACAAATAGAGCAACTCCAGCATGCAGGTCTGAGGGTCACCATTATCATCACTTTGTGTGTAGCCTTTCCCAGATATCAAAGTATTCTCGTTTACGCCGCCTCACTGAGTTCCCCAGCCGGTGAACGGACTCGGTGCGATCATCCCCGAGTGCTGCTGAGGGGCTCAATGCCAAGACTTGCTCCTGGTTATATGAAGGGGCGGGGTCTGCCCCCCTCCCCCACTACACCTTCTGCATTCCTGACTCCACGCATTCTCCCATTCCATAGATTCCATCATCCCTTCCATTCAGCGATGACTTTGAACCAAGCACTCAACATGGCGGGCACGGGGTCGAAAGCTCTGGCCTCAAGCAAGATGCCACTTTGGTGTGCACCTCACTTGAGTCTCATTTGCTGTTGGTGTTTCATATCCCAGTTTGCTTTCCCTAAGAATTCAGGGTAGGGACACAGAGACACTTGACGCCTTTTTCTTCCCACCCCAGCTCATTACTGTTTCTCCTTTACAGGGTCTTATTTCTAACCTGACCCTCGGTTCCAGTGTCCTCACGGACTGGATGATCTTCCCGCTGGACACCGAGGATGCAGTGCGCAGCCATCTGGGAGGCTGGCATGGCCGTAACCATGGCCGTCAGGATAATAAAGCCTTTGCCCACCACTCGTCCAACTACACACTCCCGGCCTTTTATGCGGGGAACTTCTCTATTCCCAGCGGGATCCCAGACTTGCCCCAGGACACCTTTATCCAGTTTTCTGGATGGACCAAGGTACGTGTCTTCATGGAAAGTATTTTAGTTCGAGCCTCAAAGATCTGCTTTTTGGCTTCTGACAAAGAACCAAAAAGAGCTGCTGATGAGACGCTGTGTGACAGTTTGGGAGCAGAGAGCTTTCTGTGTTCGTTTACCCAGTCCTCCGTAGTGGCACCTTGGCAGACCTTCGGGGACTCGATGGCCAGCTGGAATGCGTACCATGTGCCCCATTGTCACTGACTGACAACTTCCTTTAGCAAGTGATGGCTTTCTGGCTTCCCCTAAGAAAAACCGTAGCCCTTTGGATACTGATTATGAGGGACACGTTCTGTTTCTCTTGAAGAAAATTTGGCCCAGGCAGGGGGTGGGTCTCTGGGAGAACTTGTTTTCTGTCCATGTCCAATGCCTACTTCTGTACCCCCACAACACTCCACTTTCATACAGCCTTGCACCCTGGGGGCGCCCACCGTTGTCTCTGTGATCTTCACCTCTTCCTTGGCCATTTTCCTGACTGACTGGTCACCCCCCACCTTTATTCTTTGAAGCCATCCACGTGTCTTCCTTCGCCGTTGTCTTCTTCATTTCAGTCCCATTTTCACCCTGCATGACCTTACCATGACTCAGTTATGCATTCAACAAGTATTTTTCAGTGGCTACTATGTGCCCAAGCTTCGTGCCGGGCACTAAGGGTGCAACAATGAACAAAACCAACTGTGGGACTTGCCCTCATGGAACTTACACTCTAACTGGGGAGACAGACCCAAATCATACAGTCACCCAAATGAGATGGCAAGATGGCAGCTGCAGTGGGTGCTAAAAAGAAACATGGGAGTTGGTAATAACTGGAGTGTTTGACCTTGTCAGGGAGGTCAGGGAAGCGTTCCCTGTAGGAGTGATGCGTGACAGAGATATGGAAGATAAGTGGGAATTGCCATGGCAAAAGGGGGAGGGAACCATGTTGCAGGCAGAAGAGATAGCATGTGCAAAGGCCATGTGGTTGGTTAGGGGGGAAATGAGGGGCGCAAGGAACCAGTAAAGGACCCAAATACATGGTTTGGGGGCGGAGTGTGGTTCAGAGAAGAGACTAGAAAGTGGGTAGAGATGAGATTGGAATAGGCCAGTTACGCCCCATTAATGTCTCGTCGTTATGGTGAGAGCCTTTGAAGCAGGAGAGTGCCATGACATGATTGTGATACGACGAGCCTCTCTGACCCCAGGTGGAGTGAGGGTGCCTGTGGATTTGGGGGAAGCTATCTAGGTGGCTGGACCGTAGTCCCGGGGAGAGACAGGGATGGTAAGTTAGCTAAGATGGAGAGGATATCAACTATCTGAGAGATATGTGAAACTAAATCAATGAGATGTAATGGTGGATTGGAAATACCCTGGATGCCTCTTAGGTTCCAGGCCGGTGGCTGGGCAGATGGCACCATTTATTGAAAGAAAAGATTTCCAAAGAAAACTTGGGCTGGGAGAGGGAGATCATGAGTTTGGATTTGGACAGATTGAGTCGCAGAGGCCTTTGAGAACAGCTGAGCGAAGGTGCAGGCGGAGGACTGTGGGCCCTGTGCGTGAAGTCAGAGGAGGGACCCGGGCTGGGAATATATGCATGAGATCATCTGCGTGTGGATGGCCATTGAAGACGTGGGATGGAGGAGGTCCTCTAAGGAGAAGGGGTGGAGAAGGAAGCAGAGAGGCACAAACATGGCGGGCAGAGAGTGAGGAGGAGAGCTGGAATTTGTGTTGCCGAGGGGACAAGTAAGAGGAAGACAGAAGCTCTCCTTCTACGGGATTGAGCCACGAGGAGCTCAGTGGGACCCCCAGGAAGTATATGCCAGTGGAGCAAAGCCTCCACAGGCTGCATCGCATGCTACTGAGGAGCGTAAGGCAAAGAAACAAACACCTGAACGTAAATTTGGATACTTGAATATAAACATTCTTGCTGAGAGTTTTGACTCTGGAGAAGAAAAGTATGTAAATAGCTGAAAGAGAAGAGGGCAAATGATACGCGCGACATTTAAGAAATGCCCTCTTATATTTTTTTGCTTTTTAAATGTTTATGGAAATACATCATTCTGTTTAAAATATTTTCTAATTTACCTAATTGTCTCTTCTTGGACTCATAGATTATTTAGAAATGTGTTATTTAATTCCCATGTGTTTTGTTTGTGGGTTTTTTTTTTTTAGTATGTCTTATGTTTATGGATTTCTAATTTAATTCCTCTGTAAAACTTCTAGAAGATGGAGAAAAGTCTTTATGACCTTGGATTAGGCAAAGACTTTTTAGATTTGACACCTAAAGCGTGATCCTTAAAGGGGGAAACTGATAAATTGGATTTCATCAAAATTAAAAATGTTTGCTCTTCAAAAGATATCATTAAGGAAATGAAAATCCAAGCTACAGACTAGGAGAAAATATTTTCAAATCATGTGTCTAGCAAAGGCATCTAGAACACATCAAGACTTCTTACAACTCAGTAATAAGAAGATACACAACCCAGTCACAAACTGGAAATTTCGCCAAAGGAGCTATACAAATGGTTGATAAGTACATGAAAAGATGCATAATGCTCAACACCATTAATCATGAGAAAAGTACAAATCAGGGGCACCTGGATGGTTCAGTGGGTGAAGCATCTGACTCTTGATATTGGCTCAGGTCACAATCTCACGGTTGTGAGACTGAGCCCCATGTCGGGCCCTATGCTAACAGCGCGGAGCCTTCTTGGGATTCTCTCTCCCTGCCCCTCCCCTGCTCGTGGGGGTACATGTGCACATGTGCTCTCTCTCTCAAAATAATAAACTTAAAAGAAAAAAGTACAAATCAAAATCCAGTGAAAAACTACTTGACACCCACTAGAACGGCTGTAATAATAACGGATGGAGAGTAACAAATGTTGGCAATGATGTGGAGAAATGAGAACCCTCCTACGTCACTTGTGGGAATGTAAAATGATACAAACACTTTGGAACATGGTTTGGAAATTTCTTCAAAGGTTAAATGCAGAATTACCATAGGACTGAGGAGTTCCACTTCTAGGTATATGCCCAAGAGAAATGAAAGCCTATGTCTACCCAAAGACTTATATGAAAATATTCAGAGCAGCATAATTCGTAATTAGCCCAAACTGGAAATTCAAGTGTCCATCAACTGGTGAATGGATAAATGAAACGTGGTATATCCATTCAAAGGAATAGTGCTCGACAGTAGAAAAGAACAGACTACTGATACAAGCTACAGTGTGGGTGGATCTGAAAAACATTATGCTAAGTAAAAGAAGCCAGATATAAAAGACCATCTATTGTAGGAGTCAGTTTAGAAAAGGCACATCTATAGAGACAAAAAGTAAGTTGCTAGTTGCCTGCAGGGAATGGTGGTGGGAAGGGAGAGTGACTGCAAGTAGATATGGGGTTTCTTTTTGGGGTGATGGAAATGTTCCCAAATTAAATTGTAGTGAGGGTTTCACAGTCTTCTTAAGTTCATTGAGACTTGTTTCATGACCCGGCATATGGTATATCGTGGTGAACACACTCCAGAATTTTAAGCTTTGATATCCTCTCTCTTGCTACATGTTTCTATCCTCCAAACTCTCAAGCCTCCCCAGCCTGCTCTTGGGTCTTCTTGATGACCTGAAACTCTCCACCATTAAGGCCACAGTTCTTCCCTATCCAGCCTAGATATCACCACTATCCTTTTTTTTAAAGCCATCAATCACTGGCCCCCTTGACCTTCCACTCCATCTCCTTGTTCATCCTCCACTCTGAGTGGGTCCGCCATTGACCTTTGCTCGTTCACCAGTGACTGAGCACTGCTGGGGGTTCTCTCCAGCACGTTCATCAGGGCCCCGGATCCCCACATTCTCTCCAGCCTCCGGAGGCCCCCCGTTGCCCAGCAGTCTTTGGTCTCTCTTCCCCCTTCCCCAGCTGGTCTTTCTAACCTTCACTTCTCCCCTAAGCCACCTTCCTCCTCCCCCACCCACTCACCCTCCTCGTCTGTTATCAGGTGTAACTCCTTTGTTCCCTCAGCTTCCTGTCAGACTTATCTCTCTGCCTCTACCCTCACTTCCTGCCCGGTGGCCCTAGGAGGAAGTCTAAGCTCTGAATCCCCTCCCTACCTTCTTCCTCCAGACCAGGATCCTGTTCTCATACCTCCTCATACTGCATTTTGTCAGCCTTTCGGTCTCTCTGTCACCTTCCAGGTTGTGGCCAAGAAGTGACACCTGGAGGCTCTAGGACCCAAACACAAAGTAAAACCCTCCCTGGATCTTCCCACTTTAGCCAGTAGGCTTGTTCGTCCTCCCTGCTCCCTCCTTTTCTCCCTCCTTCCTTGTCCCCTTCTCCCTCTCAGTGTCCTGATGTGTCATATATCTACTTTGTTCAGGCTTTTTCAGTCCCTCGCACGGCCCACCCTGCCATCACATATTCATCTGTCAAGACTGGCATTAACCCCTCTGAGAAAGCTTCTTAGACCCTTAGTCTGGGAAAGGACCAGCCCCGCCCTCCTCTGAGCCCCCTTGTGCCCCACCCAGACTCGTCACACTGAGGCTGACACCTCGGTTTCACCCACAGGGTCACAAGCTTCAGGAGGGGCGTTTTGTAAAAGGTGCTCAGCTTATTCACCATCCTGCCCACCTCCCGGGGCCTGCTTGCTCTGTAAGTGCCCTCAGGTGAAAGGGTACACAGGTGCCCGTGTTGCTGAGCCCCTGGGAAGAGAGCAGACGGGAACAGTGTAGGCCCTCAGGCAGCCATGTTGGCGATGGGGGGCTTGGCGGGGCGCCGTGGGTACTGGGCCAAGGCAGATGAGAAGCACACCATTGCTCACCAGTTTAGTGCTTTAAGAGAAAGAACTTCCGGGAGGTGCTTAGCAGAAAGAGAACGTGTCCATTTACAGGAATGTTCAGAAGGGCTGGGTGGTTCGGGTGGAGGCCGATCCGACAGATGGATGGCACGTCGCCAGAGCCAGAGGGAGTTCTGTCGGGGTGGCGGAGGGGGAGATTTCAAGCGGGAGCGTGGTAGATGCA